ATTGCACGTCTGATATGAGAGAACCTATTTATAAAATAAGCCCTAAGTGTATTCGCCTAAATTATTGTAATCGTATCGTATGTGTTTAAGAAGACAAGCCCAAGATAAACCAATATTGCAATCGGCTGTGGGTAATACAATAACAATTGATACAATTTCATGTTTCTTGAGAGTCATTATTAGCCTAGATTGTTTACACTGTCAGTTAGGCGATAAAGCATTAATTGCAATCATAAGTTTGCTAATCGACAGATGCCTTTTCTGGCTGTTCTAATTCCCAATATTGTGTTAAGAACGCTAATCTTTGCTCTTTAAATACCAGAATACCTAATGCAAACAGCTAGCAAAGCGACGTTGGCCCAATTGGTAAACGTTAGCAAGCGTCGGGGTCGGATATCTGACGTTGGTACGACGTTGGTGTTTGGTTGCAAAATTTGGTCGGAGAGGTAACGTCAAACCCACATTGGAATTTCACATTGGCCCAACGTATGAATTTGTCGATCTTCCGATGTCGTCCCAACGTTGGTAAGCCGTCGTAAATATACAGTCTGACTACGGACGTTGGTACGTCGTCACGATTTGTTACTGGCCTGACGTCGGCAAACGATATAAAAAGATGGTTGGGTGCTACCGTTGGCCCAACGTTGGCTAGAGGTTGTAAATATTAGATGTGATTACAGACGTTGTCTCAACGTTACAGTACGTTGTTGGCCCGACGTCGGTAAACGTTTGAAATGGAGGTTGGTTAAAACCGTTGGCCTGACGTTGGTTAGAGGTTAGAAATATTAGATGTGATTTAAGACGTTATCGCAACGTAACAGTACTTTGTTGGCCTGACGTCGGTAAACGTTTGAAATGGAGGTTGGTTACAACCGTTGGTCCGACGTTGGTTAGAGGTTTCAAAAGTTTACCGAGATTGGGCCAACAAACCTGACGTTGGCTGTGACACACACAAAAATAGTAGTATAAATAATAAATCATATATCATAATATAATGGTAATAACATTATTAACTCAGAACAAAGAACAAAATATTTATTATATTTCTAAATGTCATCAAGTGATAATATATATATATATATATACTGTATATATATATACTATTGATCCTTGCACACTAAATAAAAACGCAGTGACGTCACATACAGTCATAAAGTGGCATCATCTCGATGAGCCCGTGTTTATTCGGCTTGTGTGTTCAATGTAAACACGCTGTTTTTATCATATATGATTGCTAATATTTCAGGGCGAAATTCAGTTTAAAATGTTCCTATTTATTTCTCACCGTATAGAACTTGGTTCACAGGAAACTTTTTTTTTCCAAATGCTTCAACAGAGAATAGATAAAACCCCTTCAACTAACATAAAAATATGGAAAAGTAGGCCTAATTATCAATAAAGAAACATTGCAATAAAGAAACTGGAACCTCTGAATCTGAATGTATACTAAAGGCTAACTAAAGATACAAACATATTAAAACACAAACTGTGTAAAGCCAGTACAACTTATGACTGATTATTCAGCAATAGTCATATTTTCGCTAATTTTACCTCTCACGTACATGTGACGAGCCACTGATCTTTTGTAATGGCTGGATTGCTCATTGGCCAATCATTCAGTGGTGGCCCCAGGTTGGGGCTATAGCCTCCACACCCCCCCCCCCGTCGGGGAAGACGATAAATTTTGTCGGGGAACAAACAAATAAAA